TTTTTCTGCGTGTGTAAGTGTGTGAATGTATGGGGTGTACTTTACAGAAAGGCTCTTATCACTGAAAGAATTTTATGTAGTATACTGTGAAGAATATATATGAAGGCAGCTGTGCTTACACAGTACATCTCGGTAGTTTGTATTTCACATGGAAAAAGCATCATTCACGTCAACAAGAAAGCATTCACAAACAAGAAAGCATTTCGGTAGTGATACAAAATTCGCGTGAGGATAGCATACTATGGTACAGATCATATGCATCATTCTCGCACAAAACAGCATAATTCTCGTGTAAAAGCATTTTACTGGTGGAGTAGGCAAGAAACAGTTTGTATGAAGAGATAGAAAATTCACGTGTAGACAGCGTGGTATACGTTTCTTGTGTGTGTGAATGTGTGTCTGTGCGGGCTGTGATTTTTAGAAAGGGTCTTATTGTTGAAAGAATTTTATGTAGTATATATAGTGTGAAGAATATATGTATTGACTTGTTTTTACACAGTACATCTCGGACGTTAGTTTATATTTTAGACAGAGAAGTAAGTAGATGAATAAACGAACTGGATGGGCGAAAAGCAAAAAGAATAGCAACTTACTGACTAATTGTGAAATGTGAATATCAAAGTAATACTTTTCTGTTACCTAAGCACATTGGGCGTGTAGTGCTTTTGTTTTCGTGTATTGTCGTTCACTATAAAATTAGGCATGTTGAAGTAGATTGCCATTTTTTGCGGTTTTATTCGGTTAAAAGTTTCGCTGCAGTGATACAAAATTCTCGTGAAGGTAGCATAATATGTTTCACCACTAATATGGTAACCACTGTTATTTAAGATTTGTTTCAACTCTAACATATCTCTTTTGTTTTCTCTATTGTTATTAGATGTTATTATTCTTTTCACCATATTAGTCATTATATTTTGCTTCATAGCATAGCTATGATCTGCATCAAAATTTAATGCTTTTGCACTAGCCGTTGGTTGCAAAAATTCATTTAAAGCTATGTCCGTTAAGTTAAACATTAAAAGAAGATGAAAATACCATCATGATACCAGCGGATAAAGGAGGAAAAGTTGTAGTCATGAATGTAGATGATTACATGAAGAAAATAAAGCAGAAATTAGACACAAAGGCGTATCAGAAATTAGATGAAGATCCATCGAAAGTTATACATAAAAGATTAGAAATACTGTTATCAGAATTAGTTGGAAAACAAGAGATAGATAGAGATGAAACGAATACGATGCCTGAAAACAAAAAACTACCGTTTGTTCGTGGACAGTTAACGGTCCGTAAAGAAGATAAATCAATGCGATTGATAGTATCTATGAGAGAAACAATGGGTTCATCCATGGCGAAATATATCATGAATATAACAAAATGGTTCAGTCAAAAATGCATAAGATTTAATAAACAAGTTGTACAAACTTAAAGTTACGCAAAGCAGTAAACTAGCGAGTTTAGATGTTGGTGAATATTTTGTTGATAAAACATCCTTCATATTACTTCCACGAATAGCACCAGTTACTGCAAGTGCAGCGTCGTACTGAGCGCTTTGAAATCTCTTAATATTTATGTCTGATGTGTTTCCATAGATGATGTCAGCAAAG